TATTAGCAAAGAAGTATAAAAACTTCTTGCGAACATCTTTTTTGTGTGTGGTCAGAGGATCAGTGGAAAGAGTTTTTGAATTTTATATATAAATTTTACATATAAAAAATAGTAAAAATATAATAATTTTTACTATGATGGATTTTTATAAAAAATTATTCATAAAATCAAGAAAAATTTTTTAATTTATAAAAAATAACAAAAAATTTCTCACTAAATACAAATAATTTTTTTACAATTAAATTATTTTTTTATTATATAAAATTAATTTTAAAAATTCTTTAAAATTTAAAAAATTTTTGATTTTACTATAATATCTATATAAAATTTTAAAAATCATTAACTATTTAATTTAATTTATAGTTAATAAAAAAATTATAAAAAATTTATTTTATTAAATAATTTGTTTTTATTTAATAAATTTAGTCATTAAAATAATTTCCATAAATTTTTTTTATTTATGATATATAATGGAAATTTGAATATCATAAAAAATTGATTCTTTATTTTCAAATTGAATACTTATAATTTTTTTAAAATATTTTAAAAAAACTTTTTAAATAATCTTTTTTTTTTTTTTTTTTTTTAATTCGCAATCATATCACAATAGCATATCTTTATTGAAAAATTGAAATGAATTTACAATATTTTACAGACTTTTACAAAGTAATTAACTCGTCTTCATACAAAAGTACTCTAAGTCAGATTTTGGAACAATATTTTACTCCCCTAATAGATTAGTAATAACCTCTATCTACCAGGATCATTGCCAACAGTTTGACCCTGAATTTTTAGTAGCACAAATCCTTACCAAAGATGATTGGCTGACATGAAACATGTTAGTTTTTAGAATGTAAACAAGCTCCTATTGGTCATATTCATGTGTTCCGATAATATTATTGATGATTGGAAAGAAGGTTCTAGAAACATTTACCCTCAAAAAAGCTCAAGTCCCTTAATGAAAACTTCCATAACACCAAAAGATCAAGCGATGGATAATATAAATTGCAAACTCCTGTTTCTTACTGAAGTTTCTCAAGTGGTGACAAGCTTTAATGGAAAAAAGCTAAGATCTAAATGCTTTCCTTGAGATATCCCAATCTAGTGTTTACTTAAATGAAAAACTAGTTGGATTGACTCATCTGATGCTGCAGGTGGTGAAAAAGATAGAAATGACTCTTGAAGTCATACTTCAAGTTGTTTTAATGAAAGTATTAAGACTTTATTAGCAAAGAAATATAAAAATTTCTTGTAAATATTTTTTTTGTGTGTGGTTAAAGAATCAGCGAAAAGAGTTTTTTTTTAATAATTGATCTAACTTTTTAAATAATCTTATTTTCTATATTTTGAATAATATAAATATAAATTTTTATTTTATTTTATTTATTGGTTATCAAATTATAAATAAAAATTACAAAGCAATATTAATCCAAAGACTTTTGTAATAAACTGTAAGTAAATATTATATATAAAATATATTTTTTATTAATTTTTATTTTTTAAAAAAAATTAATTTTTTCTTAGTAAACTTATTTATTATATTATAAGAAATATTAAAAATTTTATTATATACAGTAAATAACTTCTTAATTGTTTATATTTAATAATTTTAGATACTAATTATTACTTAATTTATACATAATTAAAAATAACTTTTTTATCAATTTAAGTATACTCTGGAATTGATCTATGCATCTTGATTGGTTGAAGTTTGTATGAGTCATCAACAATTGGGAATTGATGAATTACGTATACAAATTTGTATTACATTTTGTAAATACTATAAATAAAAGGAACATCTAGGATTTTCAATTGTTTATTCCTTTCTAAAACTCTCTTTGTGCTCTCAATTAAAGTTCGTTTGTTAGGAAAAACAAATAACGTCGCTCTACAACTAAAACAAAGGAACATGCCTCCAAAGACCGCCGCTGAAAAGAAGCCTGCTACAATTGGTGGTAAGGCCCCAGCTACTAAGGCACCTACGGCTGATAAAAAAAAAACGGCTGCTGCCGCTGGCGACAAAGTCAAGAAGAAGAAAACGAGGAAGGAAACATATTCAAGCTATATCTATAAGGTCTTGAAACAAGTACACCCCGATACCGGTATCTCAAACAAGGCCATGTCGATCATGAACTCTTTTGTCAATGATATTTTTGAACGTATTGCTGCTGAAGCCTCTAAGCTTGCTGCGTACAACAAAAGATCTACTATCTCGTCAAGAGAAATTCAAACAGCCGTTAGGCTTATCCTTCCAGGCGAGTTGGCGAAGCACGCAGTCTCTGAAGGCACTAAGGCTGTTACTAAATATACTAGCTCCAAGTAAATTCAAACATGGAAGAAATTATTTTTCTTAAGGGTTTAATGCACTTGCTATATTTGATGAATTTGCAAGAAACCAATTTAAACATGTTTGCTCGCTAATAACACATCTATTTGGTATTTTCATGTTCTTGCGGCAAATTTTGACTATGATTTAATTAACACAAATACATAATAGTTGGGTATCCTCTCTTCTTTCTTTTCAATCTTTTTCTTACGTTTCTTCCTACACTCGCGACGAAATATAATCTTTAATTTCGGGGCAGTTTATTCTTTTTTTTTCTTTGGTTATTTGATCAACATTTGTGAATAAAAACCATTGGTCAAAAGCAATATAACTTGTTCGGAGATAAGTATCCGTTAGAAAATTGTACATTTGAACTATTAAAGTCGTAATTTCTTAAGACTCATAATATTTGTATTTCGATTCTTCAAAGGAGTCCCTTTGTGATAGGAGAGGGGGATGACAATAATTATTGTCCATGGTAGTTTCTGCTAGCGTGTCACTACCAACTATTTGGATTAAAATAGCTATTATTAAGATTTTTAGTTATAATAGTTTTAATTATAGTTTTTAACAAATATTCGTTTTCTCAAATGGTTCTTTTTATGAGTAAAAAAAAAAATCAGAATTACTGTACATCAATTAACGCTTAGTCTCCGTTACGAGAAATAAAATTACGGGAAATTTAATCCTTTTTGTGAAAATTACCATCTCTTCATCGACTATAATACAGTGAATGACGGTTACGAAGGATCTGGTAGACTTCTGGTTCGATGATTTTCGATATGATCATGTATCAGATCAAAAAAAAGATTATTGGATGAATCAAAATATACTGTATACTTTCTCCTATGTTGATGTTAAGATAGAATCTGCGTTATCTGGAAAAATGTGGAAATATAGTTCTAAATGGATGCTTTATTAAAAGGGCCGACCTTTTTTGCCTTAATAGTACAATATTCAAGAAATTTCTATTTTAGTAATATAGATAAAAATAGCCGTTACTAATTGACTTTTCCTATTTAGTTGAAAATTGGAACTGTTGAAACATCGTCAAATTAATTTCGCAAACTTAAAAATTTTGGAAAGAAATAATATTTAAGATTTGAAGAAAAATTAATTAAATTATTTTTTATTTATTTTTTATCGCAGAACAAGCATGAAGTGGGAATTAACGATAACCTATCGTAATTTCCTATTTAAGTGAGAATGGCTAAAATATTTTTATTTTATTTTTGAATAAATAAAACATATATACTCAATCAACATGATATACTGTATACTATAGTTAAACTTTTATAACAAATCTAATTAACTCATTATAAGTATAAATAATTTCTAGAAAACAATATGATGTATTATATAGAACTTTGGATAAAGATCTTTTTAGTTTATATATTATTTCTAGCAAGTTGTTAATAATTCTTTTCGCTGATCATCTAATCACACACAAAAAAGATATTTGCAAGAAGTTTTTATACTTCTTTGCTAAGAAAGTCTTAACATTTTTCTTAATCCAACTTGAGAAGAAGTTCAAGAGTCATTATTACACTTCCCCTTTCTCTTGTAGACATTTTTCTTTACACAAAAACATGACTTTTATTGATCCAAGCCATGAAATATCCTTCTTATAAATGGCAAGAAAGTTTTGAAAGGAAGAAAAATTGAAGTATTTTGATCCTTCTACCTAGCAGAAAAACATCACATAGTTGTGTTTATGATAAGAGACTTTTTAGAACACATCCATCTACTCTCTTGTCATAATATTAGCTTTAATAGTACTTATTCTTAATTCTTTTTGGAAAAATTTACCTATCTCAGTTTGATCCTGAATTTTGAGTAGCACAAAGTTTTTTGTACAATAATTGAATAGAAGAATATACATCAGTAAAAGAATATAAACAAGCTCTTATTGGTTATCTCATGTATTTCAAATATATTTTCTTACCTATATAAGAACCTAAAATTTATTATAAATCATATATTGTGGCACAGGTAGATACAAACACCACTTAATTTATGCAATATTTCAACTGGAAGAGTCTGTCCAATCATAATAAAGATTACAAGATACTGCAACCATTTTGAAAGTAGTATCACCTATTTTTGATTATCAGATAGATTCTTTCTAGTTCCTCTAAATAGATAAAGATTTAGCTTATTAATTTTTATAGCAAAGTTGGATAGCTTTCTGATAGGCATAGATAATGAGGAGAAATTTTTTCTTTAGAATCACATGTCTCTCTTGATATGTGCATTAGGGGAATTTAGAAGGATTGATAAATCTTTATTCTTAATATGTAAATTAAATTGATTCAAATAAGTTTTCTAATAATAATCCATCTAGTGAATGGGATTTTTATGACATCACAATATAGAGATACTGAAAGTAGCTAAGGAACAAGTAACATATCCTTGACTAAAAAAGTCCTCAAAGAGTAATCAACTTATATTATTGAAGTAGTAATAGTAATATGTAATTCTAGAAATGTTTTTATTGGATATCATATTTTTTCATATATACAAATTTTATTAAATTCTTGAAAATTTCAATAAAATAAAGTTGAGTCCCTGTTTCAAAAAAAAAAAAAAAAAAATTCTAGCAAGTTGTTATAAATATAGAAAATTATATAAAAAAATAGATTGAAAAAAAAGTATAATATTTAAAAATGCATAAATATATTATAATAAAAAAAAATAAATAAAAAAATATAAAATTCTTAAAGATAAAAATTAATATTTTTTAATGATCTATATTTTTAAAACTTTTTTTTAATAAGAATTATTTGATTGAAACATTCTTTCTTTTAATTATTTAAAAAATCAATTTATTATTAATTTTAAAATTTTTCTTATTTATTATTATTTTTTTTTAATCTGCAATTATGCCATGATGGCTTATCTTTATTGAGAAATTAAAATAAAATCTATAATAGTTTATAGACTTTTATAAAATAACCAATTTATCTTTATATATAAGCACTCTAAGTCAAATTTTGAATACAATATTACATTTCTTTAATATATTAGTAATAACCTCTATCTATCAAGATTATTGCTAACAATTTTTTACTATTGATTAATTCTAAAATCAATAAATTGTTAAGCTAAAAAGGAAAAAAGAAAAATATTAATTGAAAAAAAAAAACAATTCAAAATATATCAAAAAAGTTCAAAATAAAAACATTCTTTTTTAAAAAAATCTTCTTAATTGAGATAATTTTCTATTTTATTTTAATCTCAAAAAAAATCTTCTTTTTCATTACTTGTAATATTGAATAAGTTAATCTAACTGATTTTTTATTTAAGTAAGCATCAAATTGGAATATTTCAAGGAAAACATTTAAATTTCAACTTTTTTTCATTAAAACTTTGTTATTATCTAAAGAATTTAAGTAAGAAATAGGAGTTTGTAATCCATATTATTTATTATTTGGTATTTTGATATTATAAAAGTTTTCATTAAGGGACTTGAACTTTTGAGAGCAAATATTTCTAAAATATTCTTTTTAATCATTAATAATATTATCAGAACATATAAATATAATTAATAGAAGCTTGTTTATATTCTAAAAACTAATATGTTTTGTGTCAGTCAATTACCTTTAGTGAAAATTTATGCTACCCAAAATTTAGGATCAAATTGAGATAGATAAAATTCATCAGAAAACTATAAAAGTGAGAGTTTTAAGAGGGTCAATATAATTAAAAAAGAAGAAAATAAATCTTTTTATTAAAAAAATTTCTAAAAATCTTTTACTTCAAAGGTTAAACAAGCTTTTAAATACTTCATAGTCAGTTCTTCTTTTTTAAGAACTTTCTTGTTATTGATATTAAAGGTATTGCTTGACTTTTCTTGATCATTAGAAGTCAAGTTTTTGAGTGAAAAGATTCATAAACAAAAGAAAAAGAATAAAAACAACTTTTGAAATTATATTTCAAGTTTTTTTAAGAAAAGTATTAAAATTTTATTAACAAAGAAATATAAAAACTTCTTATAAACATCTTTTTGTATAATCAAAGAATTAACAAAAAAGGTTTTTTTTTTTATCAATTATATAATTTCTTTAAAATTTTTCTTATTTTTTTTTGAGTACTCATAGCTAGATTTAATTATTGATTTATTAATCAATTGAAAACATAAGTATATTTTTATTTGAGTAGCATAATACATATTATAGTTAAACTATTATTCTAATCTAATTAACTCATCGTAAGTATAAAAGCCTCCAAGTTTAAACTTGGAAACAATATTTTACTCTATAGTATCTTTAAGTAAAAATCCTCTTAGTCTATTGCATCATTGTTAATAGGTTGTTACTACTGTATATTTTATCAAACTCTATAGTTTTTATTTAAGTTATTTAATAGATAAGAATTCTTGTCATATATACTTATACAGACAAAGAAAAAAAGAAAGAAAGAAAGGAGTAATATGTCTATTGTATACATTTTCAAATAAATACTATATACAGTACATCAACTATTATAGTAAAATATTATATATATAGCTAACTATATTGATTATACTATATATGTATAAGTACTACCTTAACAGAAAATTGTACAATTTTATCTTAATTATTTTCCATACATTTTTATTGTATACTAGAGTAAATAGATTATTAAACCATTAAATACAGTATCCTAAACCCAATATTTTGATCCTTTGGAATAATTTACAGATTTCTTTTCTCACCAAGATCTTTCGATAGTTAATTTAATAAGTAATACAAAGACCAATATTTGATTATCAGTAGCATTCTATCAGTTTAGAGATTTATTCTTATATTTGTTACTTTGTTTAAATTTTTGCATAACTAGATAACATCAAAATAATTTTAGTTGATTTTGAATATTATAGCTAATCACAATTTCTATATAGATCATACTACTTATTAATAGATATTTTTTTTACTGAAATATCTTATAACAAGTAACTATATTTGAAAACATCAGTTAAATATGATTAGATCAATGGATACAGATTTTATCAACTT